GATGACATCATCGGCATTGGGGGTCACGCGACCCCCAAGGTCACGTGACCCCCCCTGTTTAGTTTCACCCCCCCCCCCCTAGTGCCCTTCCCTCCCCCTCCTCAAGAGCTGCGCTCTAATTCGGCGTTACAGGGAGTTGTAAGCGGCTTCCACTTTTTTATATCATTGTAACTTGAGTGGATTTGCTAATTTTCGACTACTCGCATCTTGTTTTTATTTAAAACCGTACTTCTAAAATTATTATGAATAATTTGACTGCTGAAAAGTAATTAATTATTTGTTTATACTGAACGTTAAAAAAACGGCATCAGCCTTTTTTTTCTGTGCGATGCGTAGTTTCTGCAGGAGCGAAGTTGGCCCGCGTTTCCAAAAACACTGTATATATGCGTGAAGTAAACATGCTCTTCGAACAGGATTACGCCAGATACTTCTGTATCATGTGTATCGGTATATGTGAGGGTCGCTACAAGAACAGCGATAGACATGCAAGCTATCGCTATAAAAATACAGATACATATATTTTTTAAAAGGTCATGTTTTATATTATTTACCTCAGTCACTTTTGCGAAAACAAAGTACGGAAAAATCTGTGGTCACGAGCCAGAAGATTTTTTAGCTGTTCAAGTAGAGGTCCTATATACCTCATTTCAGTTTGTGTGCAGAGGCAGTCGACGCTTCCAGCTCTTGGGACCAATAGACTGTCAAAAGCGAGGGTCACTGGGCCTGCCCTGTACACGATTGGTTGAGCGATGATAGAAGACATGCGGAAACATGACGAACACCATTTTTAGTACGCTTTTGACGCTGTACGATTGGTCCCACCACCTCATAGCGTACACTGCGCTTCGACTTCAGGGGAAACGAGGTAGAGAACCGTAAAGCTGCGCGTGACACATCATAAATCGAGCGGAAACTTCACCGAGGGAAGTCTCGCGTCGCCCCCCATATCTTATCATGCAATCGTCAATCCGCTATAGCTCCTGGCGACGGTCCTAGTTGGCTCAGCCACGTATGCCGTCTGTAGTCATCGGATACGAATGCGAAAATTGTCGCGAGGTTCGATAGCAGAGTGGCGATAGCAGACGACGGGAAAATAGATAAACGGGGAAGAGATGGTGGCGTAACAATTGCCCTACACGTGTGTCTCGACATAACGGTGTAAGATATATACACATATATACTGTTTATGTGATAAGATACAGCGCGGAGAACGCTGTGCCGCAATCGACCAGGGTCTCTAATCTATACGCTTGGTGAGAAAGTCAACTCGCCGCCGTGATTGGCCGACGCCGAAGTCAAGCGTTGCGCCGGCCAATCACGGCCGTCGGATACCCTCGCCGACCTTTTCTACACACACACGTCCAGATTAGAGCCCCAGATAATAGGTCTGTTCGATTCGGCCACAAAGTTCTGAACTAGTTTTGTCCGAGTTCAGACGAGTGCAGGGGTCGTCCAGGGGCGGCGCAGAACCAGTGCAGCCGCCGCGCTAGGACTGGCGCTGTGATCGGCTTTCCGAGCGGAAGCGCAGGGTGTAGTCTGCGTCTTTTGGCTCTTGTTTCTCCGGTTTCTGCACGCCACGTTGTATGCTACATTTATTTAGTCGCGATTCGATGAAACCATTCATGTTTCCTTAGCTTTAAAGTATAATAACGAAATATTTTCTGTGAATATGTTTTATTCCAGTGTACTAAAAACGTTTTCTGCACGAAATGTGTGTCTGTCTGCATTTTTAACGGCCGTTTGGTTCCTGTCGTTTTGACAAGCGTTCGTCTCTTTCACGTTCATTTAGCAATAGCAGATTTATTCCAACTCTCTCGAGTTTCGCATTTTGACGACAGGTTTGCGGCGTCAGGATGATTTCACGTCGGGAGTCACTGGCGGCAGCGCACGGTCGGTAGTGGTCACCTCGAAGACGAAGGCCTGACGATAGCGTTTTGGCCAAGATAGTTATCGACCGTAACTTTGGTGTCAAGCTGAAGCGTTTATTCTGATTCTCAAGAAAGACCTGCGTGGGACTACGAAGCCAATGCCGATTCTCGGCGTTTTTCCCAGGCCCGTTAGTGGGCGTCCGCAGATACCAGCGGGCAAAGCATGCAGTACTATGCTCAGCTACGGGGTATGCGAGGGCCAATGTACTAAATCCGAGACCTCAGGAATGTATTGGAGTCGTCAGTGTGCATGCAGGAGAAATTGAAGGTGGGGACTACCAAGAGTTCGATACCTTTCGCGTGTCTGTAAGGAAGAATATCAACACTGTGGGTCCCCACATAGCATCAAAAAGAAACAATTTACGTGAGCCATTATTTCAACACTTACCAGGGAGCCAAATCTACGTGAGCAGGTGCCTGAAACGCTTTCAAAATATCATAATCAAGCAAATTCTTACCCTCGGTTATGATCTCAATTCCGCGTCCATCGCGGGTACGTTATTATCATAAATGAGAGGAAACGCAACCTCCGTATCAGCGTTATTGTTACACATCGCAGACATTTGAGCAAGAGCTGCGAAAAATGGCACCGCGAGCAGAGACGTACGAGGAGTGTCGTCTGCTATCGCCGCCTGCTCTTGTCGTCTGCTTCTGCACGAACGCTGAACTGACTCCGGAGCCGGTGCAAGATTTTGAGGAACTGGGTCTGAACTCGTTCAGAACTGGGATGAATCGAACGCGCCAGTGCAGCGGCCGTACAACTTCCGGTTGAATCGAATGCACCAGTTCCTGCACTGCTGAACTAGTTCAGCCAGTTCAGGCGAATCGAACAAACCTATTGGCGCGCGTCCGAGCAGTCACAACCGACAGCGCCTTTGCCGGCTAAAAGGCGAACTGTGTCGGGAAAAAAATGTGAGCAAAGAAATAGCTTGTTGCCATGGCACCCTGGCGCTTGCGGTATTATAGAAAACCGATACAGAAGCGCGTCCATTTTTTTTTTTTTTTTTTTTGGAGGGCCGTAATATATTATGTTCGCGCCTTGCCTTTCTGCAAAGTGCACTGATGAGGTGGCTTTTGATGATGACCAGAAAGTTTCTAATTAATGCCGTACCTTTTGAGCTAGCAATGCAGAAGTTAAAAACAAAAGTAATTTATAATTAAATACACCGAACGCTATCAATTTTCCTAAATGGGTCTTTTGACAGAGCTCAATGCGAGATCAACCATTATTATGTGCGATGCGCCCTTTTTGCGGGGAAGATGGGGCCCGCGTTTTGTGGAGCACCCTGCATGTCTTATAGACCGACACGCGGGCTTGACGTCACGGCGCTGCGGCGGCGCTGCGATCGCGCCGGAGCCGAGGGGTGTGGGCAAAAGGGCACAGGTTTCGCATGGCCGTCATAATATTTCAGCATGCCGCGAAGCTGTGTTGCCGTTAATCCTGCCGAAATGTGCAAGAAAAGTAGCGGAGTGAAATTCTACAAGTTCCCGGCAGACTCTGAAAGGCATAGAAGGTGTATAATATCCGTGGATCGAAAAGAATGGTCGCCTCGCGCGTTTGTGCGGCAAGCACTTTCTTGGAGGCAAGTGCGCTTCCATTTCAATCTCCGTCCCGAGGCTTGCTTGTGTACAGGGAAAGCGTGCTCTGATCGAGACCACCCGGATTTTGTTCCCACGGTGTTCGCGCACAAAGCACCGGCCAAGCGCTCGTCGGAGGCTCGCTACGCCCGTGCTACCCAGCAGAAGGGGATCGGCTACAGAACGGCAGTGTTGTAGGCGTTACCCAAAAAAAATAACGAAATACGTTACTCGTTACTTGCAAATCAAAGGTACGCGTTACTGAGCTACGTTGCCTAAAAATAAAAGGAACGCGTTACCGCTACCTATAAGAAGTAACGCACGTTATTTCTGTGTTACTTTTTAAACTATGATTTAACACGTTTTACGGTTTTGACGATTCAGGTATGCATAAGCTCGTATGTCAAGAAACATTATGTTCATGCAGAAACAGAACATAATTACTTTATCTCGTTTTACGGTTTCACCTAAATACTGACGAGAGAAAAACGCAAAGAAAAACATGGCTTGCCGCCTAAAAACACGGAAAAACTTGAAGTGTAATTGTACTAACGAGTAACGTAACTACGTTACTTGAAATAGTAACGTAAGTACGTTACCCGTTACTGTGTCGAAAAGTGACGAGTAGGTTACTAAGCTACTGAAAAAAGTAACGCCTTCCTAGTAACGCAGTTACTTGTAACGTGTTACCGCCAAGACTGCAGAACGGACAGAGCGTTACTGCTTGTCATGCCTTGTGCTCATGAGAGTAGGAAAGATAGCATACCTTGACTTGAAAACGCTGTGTGTATTTATTTAATTAATAAATACACTTCCGGAGACCCACAGTCTGCTGATCCCGGCGGCACTGCGGAAACCGACTCGAAGTAATCGTAGGCCTCGAGAGACTTGTACGCCTGCTCAGTGTCGGCCGTAAACTGGCTTGGCGAAAAAACTAAATAAACGACGACGTGAGCCGCCGACTTCGGTGGCAGCAACTTCACGTCGGAAGTCCAGCAGGCCTTGTTTACGGCGTACGGATCCTCGTAGGCAACGCCGTCCACGCACAGTTTGTTTCGATACCGCCGTCGTTCAGGCTCGGGTGGCGAGCTCAAATAGTCGGGCATAGCATACGACATACGTAGCCAGGAAATACTACTCACAAATAAAGCTAGAAGCGTCCCTACAACGTCAACAACGAGCGCACGCCACACAACACAATGGCGAAAACACGGAGGGCCGGGTCGCTTTTGCCCACATAGCTACCGCGCATGCGCGGCCTTCCGGCCTTGTTAGTAAACAGAGCCGCTCGGCGTGTCGGTCTATAGCTACCAGTACCTCCCTCCGCTCCCTCTCTGCTTTGCGGCGATTCGGCACGCTGCAGAAAAAGGTCACGGATCCCTGCCGCAGAGAGTGCCACGATATACAAGGACAGAAGAAAACACCGGAAGCGCGTTGTGATGTCCTCTCTTGTCCTTGTCTACCTGGCTCTCCGTGTACCAACTAGCACAGATGTTTCTTACTGTTGCAGCTTTATTGTTTTCCAACAGTAGCAACTGCCTCGCATGAGGGATGAAGCATCTCCAGAGAAAAGATCATCTACAAATACATTTATCGTTGAACGCAAACGTGCCTTTTGAACGCTATAAACATGCCGGTAGACGCGCGTTCAATGTCCAAGAGGATTCTTCAGCCACGGAAAGTTTGGCGGGCACGGACCCGAGCAAGTGTTCATGAACCGGAAGTGGCCCAGCGGAGTGGTAGGGTACGAACACTTCGTCGGTTTGGAACAGGGTGTCCTATCGTCGTGCCTTTCGCATTGACGCTGGTTGTATCTGCTCAGAGGCACCGGATTCCTCATGAACTCGAGGGCTTGGGACATAGTAACCAGGTGGACGTCTTCCTTCTGCAGTAGCCATTTCACGAAAACCATGTAGCCCTTTTGGCGCTTGGGATCCTTCAGCCACTCTTCACTCAGGGAAAGTTGGAACGGTGCCCTGTTTGTGTTGTAGTGCTGCTCAAAGTGAGACCTGCATCGGGTGGAATAATTTGAATTCACTGGGTTGTTGTTTCCGGGGGTTATTTGCACAAGAGCCACTAGATATAGGCTTAGAGTAGCGACACTCCTTTTCCCGATTTTTTTCTGGGTGCCGCCATTATTGGTGCTCAGTGCAGTTGGTAATCGTTTCGATTCAGCGATATACTTTCCTCTGATTTAGATATGGTCTTGAGAAGCAAAGCCGAAATCGTTTTCCTTCCTCGCGTACAGTTTTTAACATTTTCTAGAAAACAAAAAGGGTTCTTTGTGATTTCATACGAAGTTTCAGGGAACTGGCAACCACGATTTTAAGTACCCAGATGGCTCGGAGTGTCGTTACTTTGGAGCGTAGCATGCTTATGCAAATTCGGTTGGTCAATCACCGGCGAGACCGAGCCGGTAGCACCGGAAACCACAAACGCGCCGACGGCACATTATGTGACCCTCGGCACCTGAACATAAAACGCCAGACGGTCGCAGTATACTTTGCCGCTTGCCCGCAAGACAGACACCGCTATCGAGAGGTTGTCGCCACCATCACCCATGTCCCAACGGCTAGGATTGACCCAAGTATTGGCTGCTGAAGTGACTCCAAATCAGTTTCGGTCTTTCGCGAATCTTTTCTCATTGATCTCTTCTCCCATTTTGGAGGTGGCGACACCGGATACAGTCTGGCACCCGCTCGCCCGGCCGTTAGGAGCTCGGGCGAAAAAAGCGCCATAAAATTGCCGTTGCTTGTCGGAGAACCACCACCCGAACAATGCGTGCCGGCCGGAAACTGACCAGGCGAACGCTATTGCCGGTTTTCGGCACAATAAGTTGCCGTAGATTGACCACCCGAATTCGACCTTAGCGACTCCAATCGGCACTTAACGAAAGAGTGACTCTGTCAATGTCCAATGAAACTCACGCCTGAGTTTCATTGGACGCACTTCTTTGTAATGATTGAGATCAGAAACTTTTATAACAAAATAACGTCATTTATGCTGCTGCACATTTGTGCGCAGCTTTCAAATACAGTCCTCGAAGAAGCCAGCGAAGCAACAGGAAACTGTGGCCTCGGACCATGCGCGCGCGTCATGGCGGCAGCAGGGGGTACATACGGCGAGCAAGTGCTCCAAAATGCGTCTTCGGGGTACCGGAATGCAAGGAGGGGCACGCCAATCAAAGGGCAACATAGAGAACTACCAGGGGTCATCCGCTTGACGACGAGGCAGTCGTCGTCGAGCACCATGATTGGTTGAGGTCAGGGGGAAACAAAACAACGTGGGTGCGTTTGGGGGTGTAAACAAACGTACAAGGCGCGCGAGGACCAGACGAACTTGGACGCCGTATATTATTAGTCCCGTCGGTGACCTTAAGGTTTACTATGTTGTCGCCATATATAGTCACCTACAACATTACGCCGCTGTCACACTGTTAGTACGTTATATAAAACACCGTCTGCAGACGGTCGGATGCGTTTCCTGCTTGAATGATGGTCGTGTCACGTTGGCCATATAAAATCACTTTGCGTACACTTTTGAAGCAAACGTCTGTGTGAAGCTATCATGCTTACGTCTCAGCAGCCTATCAGATCGCGGCAGTATTATTCGAACACGACGCCGAAGAACGAATCACGAAGAAAAAAGTGTAAACGTTTCTTAAGTTGTCAGTGCCTATGGCAAGACGGGGTTCAAGCAGAAACATTACCTCAGGTAATTGAGCGTGTCGATGGCGGTGGTCGGCTGCGGCTCGCACGCGGCTCCGATGGGACAGGGTACCTCGCGGTCTTGCCCGTCAACTACTTCGCTCTTGAGGTACACGTTGACGGGAAAGACCCAGAGTCCAGGATAGGGGTCTTGAGGGCAGGGTTCGACGACGCACGGCATCTTGAATCCGAAGTCCAGTGTGTAAGGATACAGCGGATAGTCTTCACCGCGGCGCCTCAGGTGGACGAGCGAGTTGTCGTACTCGACTGCGTTGCTTTGGAGCGCCTTGAACCCGTTCTCTCCGCCGGTGTTGAGGAAAGGACCACTGAACCCCTTCAAGTCCCGTTCTGCGATGTTGCCGAACACCTTCAGCATCTTCCGCTGGTCGTCGACTTCGCGACCCCATTCTTCCGGGCTCAGGGACTTCCAGAAGTCAGGGTCGTTTCGGTTGCTTGGGGAGTGGAAAAGATGAAAAAAATAAAGTTTAAACTAGCCTGTGAAGCAATTTTGAAACTATAGCTAATCATTGTACTTAGACTAAACTTTTTTTAAAAGACCAGTAATATTTTTTTAACTTCGGCTAAGGCATATATTTTGCATTCATATAAAAAAGAAAATATTTCCGCAACTATATTTGTCAAAGTGAACTCTTCGTATTCACGTTAAAAGAAGGCGTTTCAAAAGGACAGTGAAACAAATTTCAATCTTCGCTTATTATAGCAGTCTCAGTACAATATCTCAAGTTGGGAATTGTATGAAGCTGGGACCGGTTCTAGTCTGCAACAATAAATATTGGCACAGAGCTGTAGCTGGGATTTAGAAATGCAAATGGTTTTTAGGCAAAGAAATAGGTCTATCTCACCAGGCAGTTTGACTAAGCCACCGGTGCCGCAATGCATCCAGTGAACTTTAGTCTTTCTGCACGTGCGACTACCTCGCTGTTACTCTGCGCGTGTAGAGTACGAGACGGCACAATCCATCGCATGCACTGCCGTCTGCTTCCCGAGAACTAAACTTATGGCGGCGTCACGCATGCGCCGAACACTCAGTGAGATGAGTCTATTCTCAGAATTGTGCCATTGCAATAGGGTTGATTATGAAAAAAACGCGCAATCTTTCCTTCTTTTTATATACAGAGGAGCTGAAGTGGTTCTTACAAAAACGAGTTCGAGGTTAATTTTTTAATATTTTTATCCCGTGAATCTGACTATCATGCTCGTTTTCCCCGAAGGTGTAACTAAACGCGAGAAAACACGAAAATCCTGCTACCAGTCGTTACGTCATACTAGCATCTTTAGGTCGCCAAGCTTGTGTCGCTCATGCGGTGCTGTGCATGCAATTGCAAGCTTGCCAGGCATGTTCCCCAGTACTGACAGTAGTCGTAACATGCTTTATTTTTTTATTTTTTTTACCTTTTTGAAACTAGGAAGGGTTCGCGTGCATAGCTTTGATTGGCGCTAAAGATGCGCGACAGCGGATATTCAGAAAACTCCTAATATGACGTCACGCTTCGTGTAGGAGAAGCTTCAGCGGTACTTTGAAAATGACTTTCTGCAGTCTCCATGCACCAAATTGACAAAAAAAAATAATCTCGATATTCGTGATCCCGGAATCCAAATGAAGAGAATTTAAGTGTTTTTCCCTCAAATACAAAACCGCTCCAGTTTCCATTCAAACTTTACTGAGTCTCAGGTTAAGGCCGACCGCAGCCAACACTGTACGATGTGATAGTCTAGGTGGCGCAAGCTATAGCGCGTTACAAAGGGTATAGTCATTAACATTAATCCATCCATCCAATCACACAGCTCAAAAACTGTGTCGTCATGGCGCTCGTCGTCTTTGTGCGTTTATACCTCTGGCTAGACCAATCACGAGCAATAAATTCGATGTGATATCCTGCGGTTTTCTGCTCGTGATTGGTTTAGAAGATTATAGCAGACGCAAGAAGACGACGAGTGACGTACACGACGCACTATTAATGCAGCTTGATTGGCTTCGTCAGATAGCAGCGTTGTTTGAGGCCTGACTATGCGGAGAGAAAGTCAGAACGCCGAGCTTTTATAGGCTGAATGAAAAATATGGTGGGCAGACCACAAGACATCTGGCATTGCGGTCTACCCAGAATCCTTCCAATCAAAGCCAATCAGAACTCGGCGTCGTTCTGACGTCACCGCAGTTTCTGCGCAAGAAGCAGACCACTTGCTCTCCGCATTCACTCTGACTGGATGGATATACGGGTACAGCTCGATGCTAGCTGCCTTGAGGTCTACCCACTGTCCTTCTAATTGAGCCAGCTAGAGATGGCCGTTCTGATGTCACCTCAGCCACCGGCGCAGAAAGCAAACAAATTGGCGCTTCGCATAACTTTGTGCCGATAATGCGGAGTGCTCGCGTCAAATTTTGTCGGTTGGTGCGCTCGTCTGTAAAAGATTGTGTGAACACGTTCAAAGAACTAAGGAAGGACGTACAGCCGGGCTCACCTGATGGTGTGAAGAGCGATCTCGTTGCCCATAAGGTACAAGTCGTTCATGAGCTTGTAATCCACGTCGGCGGAAACGAAGAAGGTGGCCAAGACGTCGCAACCCGTCGCCTTATTCCTATTGTGGGATCCGCCGAGAAGCTTGTTGAAGAACGGCATGTTGCCTCGGTGAACAGTGTGGTTGAAGGTGAGCATCACGAACTGCGGCGTGTCCTGTATCGTCAGTCCTCCCGGTGGCAGTTCCCCGCTGCAAGCGCAATTCGGAGACCTGCATCTGTGGACGTCGCACCCGCTATGCTCCGGCCTGTAGAGCTTGGTGTCGATCTTAGGTGGAACTGTCGAAGTTGTCCCTGCGGGCGTTTCAGTCGTAACGAGCGTAGTCTGATCCCGGGGCGAACCAGTCTGGTCTCCCAGATATCTCTTGAGCTCGTCCGCTACGGATAGCAGCGTTTCCAGCGCTCCTTTCGCCACGCATTTCTTCCCTTCTGGAGAGGTGCCCTCGGAACACTGCGGACCGCCCTGCGAAATCTGCAATGTACTGTTGGACGTCCTCTCAACGGTAATGACTAGTTTCTCCTTCTGCGATGTGTTGATTGGTCCGCTAGGCCCGTTCGTCGCGCCGGTGTCTCCGACTACGACTGGGTGACTCGGCAGTTTGTTTTTGTCTTGGACAGATGGGTCCGAATTTGAGGGCAGCGATGCGAAGCTTACCTCAACATTAGGCAAATGGATTTCCTTCAGGACGGGCGGCAATGAGGCAGCGAACCTTAGACATCCTAGCAGTAGCACGGCGAAGAGCCTGCAGAGGTTCATCCTTCGATTACGACGCGAAGGTTTCGGCGACCAGAATGCGATACGAGTTCCTTTTAAGAGTGCTACACGTACGAGTTCCTCTTAAGAGTGCTACACGGACGGAGGAAAGAGGAGCTCGATTAGATAGGAGCTTCGTGCCCGACATTCGATCTTTTCTTTCTCTTTTTATGACCGATAGGAATATCAATTTCTCCTTTTTGCTCTCCATGGCAAATGGGTTTTTCACATGCCGCCGATGGCGTTTGTGGCTCCACGGTGACGCGTTTGACGACACGTCTTCGCTTTTATAGACCGTTTCACCCTCCAACGCGTGGGCGCTGCCATCTTGGAATCGCGTGACGCGGCCGCCATTAGATTGCTTCAACTCATCGCTCCGCTCCGGTCTCCACTCCGAGCTTTGGCGGATCTATTGTATTTGTGTCATTTTCCTCGTTTCACCGCGTGTTCTTGCCTTGCTCCGAAAAGTGCAGTCGGAAACTTATATTTACTACCTAATGACATGACATCATTATGTGCAAAACTTCTGCAGTTAATTTTGGTAGCACGTTTTGACCATTTTCACCGTCAGCGTACCGAATACCTGTGAGTATATGAAGCACAGGAATCAGCGTTAGCACTGAGGCACATTGAGTATACGTAGCGACTAAGAGTGTGAGGGTTCAAAGGGCAATAATTTATGAAAACTCATGTCTGCTTACTAATAGCGGTCGAACATTTGCAGTAAGAAGCGCGTATATATATATATATGATCGCGCATTTGGGATCTCGGCGATGGTGGCAAAAATAGTCTGTGTAAGGAGATTTTGTGTGCTCAAAAAGATCGTCCTATATATTCATTATAGATCTAAAACACTTTGTTTTGCTCTTATGCTAGAACTCGTGAAGAAGGTCGGAAAAAACCGTTTGACTTGCATTGTATCTGTTGCTACATCGATATCGGTTGATTGCATGGTTCATAATATCACGCCTACAAGTCTTTGATGTTCTCAGTTGTTCTCTTCCCCGCTGGGGGACCCTGCGTTAGTATGTGTTTGGTGAGTGGCGTCACCACGGACCCCGAGCCATGCGGGTTTCCTGTGTCTGGGGAAAAGAGCACAATCGTGGTTGAGCCAAGCCCAGGGTAGGTTTCGACCCTTCGGGGCCCTCAGCTGAGGCAATACACCACTTTGGCCCCCTCTCATAAACGAATGTTCTGGTAAGACCCGGCCAAGAAGAATCAAGTCAGTCGCCTCTCTTCGAATCCCGGACAAAAGCTCACCGGAGAGAAGCTCACCGGACAAAAGCTCACCGGACAAAAGCTCACCCATTCTTTCACAGACCCGGACAAAAGCTCACCCATATTTTCACAGACCCGGACAAAAGCTCACCACGAGAAAATTTCATGTTGGTCTTAACACGAGAGCGGACAACTTAGGTGCATGCGCGCGACACAAAAAGGCAACGATAAGTTAAGTCTGACAGGCGCATAGTTTGTTGATTTTAATAGAAACATGTTTATTTATCGATTGGTTAGAAGCGAATGCAGTTTCCCACTAGCTCCAGCAGTCTTGGTAGATCTCGATGTACATGCTAGCCCTCGCAAATATTTCTAAGACGATTCTGCAGGTGCAAAGTAATTCTTCGCACCCGCTTTACAGTAGGCTCACCTCTCCGGGCTTTTGTCAATGCCGTGGCAACGAGCGCCTGATTTTGCTGTAGGTATTCAATCAGCCTCAAGACGCTTGCATGGGCGTGGCCGACGAGCTTCTGGAACCCGGTACTCTATCTTTCGCAGGTGTTCATTCGGTCTTTATCTTGAAGAGTGGTGTCGTACATATTCCACCGTACCGGGGGAAACTCCGGTCGCCGTCGGCGCAGAGTCAGGCGAAGGGAAGAATTCGTTCTGGGTGCCGCCGCAGATGGAACAGAAGCATAAAGAAAGCGGCCGTTGACATACGTGCAATCAAAGTAGTCCAGCATGTAGCCGATGTCACCGGTAGACTTTTCCCTGGTGGTTAGTTCTTGTGGAACAAGCTGTGGTGGAAGGAACCCGAGCCTATCTAAAATCCCGCACAATTTTCTAGATTGGTCATCTGTCTTGTAGTTTTCCAAAAGGCCGAAATTCCGTTCTTTCAAAGTATTTTTAAAAAGATGCGTAACTCAATGGTGGATGAGGTACAAGTTCTCCTAAAAATGGTCCAATGTCCATTGCGTCCGCCCTTTATTTCAGCCCGTGTTTCGCCCGGGTATGAAAAAAAAAAGAAATCGAGGTGAGCTTTTGCCCGGGTCTGTCAAAAAATGGGTGAGCTTTTGTCCCGGTCTGTCAAAAAACGGGTGAGCTTTTGTCCGGTGAGCTTTTGTCCGGTTACCCCTTTCTTCACCCCTCCTCTCTTTGTCTTATCCGATCTTCTCCTCGTCTTTCCACTTTCATCTTCTTTGGCGGCAAGGGCTAACCTTGGGTGGCGATGAACCTCTGACTCTTGACCCACACTTAGGTATAGCCTCCCGGCAGCACTGTTGGAGTAACGTCTCCAGCAAGGCCCCTTTTATTATGGTGCGTTACCTAACCCCTTGTTGGGCTTCCTGGTGGGTGGTGCACCGCGGATTCCGAGCACTCTTTGCCCTCTTATGGAGCCCCTCCCTTTCAAATCTCCGTTCAGGGCACGCCATTAAGAACCACTGACCTGAACACAAGACTATTGAAAAAGAACCTGAGCCTCGAGGTTCTTTTTCAATAGTCTTGTGTTCAGAAAAACTTCGTAAATGTTAATACGGTAGAAACCTTCACAAAGTTTTTCGTTGTTCACTCTCTCGATGTCCACAAACCCGGGTCAAAGCTATCACCATTCGTTGTAGCCAAAGTGCTTGAGCCTCTTATAGGGTTTTCTTACAAGGCTAAAAGAAACTCCACTTTGGAGACCTCGGAATGAATGTTAATACCAAAAAAGACAAGGTAAAGAACCCCAGAAGCTGAACACCATCCTTGACGTCAAAGTGTCGGTGAGCCCTTATTGCACACTCAACACCATCCGTGGACGACTTCTTGCACACTAGCGAGGAAAACCACCTCAATGGGCCCTAAGGTGCCGGCGTCGTCGACGTAAGACTAACTTACGTTTGGGAAAGACGACGAAGAAATTCCTTCAAACACGTAATTTTTACTTTTGAGAAGCATACCCTGCCAGAAACAATCAAGGCTGGATCACAATCAAGTGGAGGTGATGGATAAAGCCTCTGAGTCACCCACTTTTGCATTCGATCAGGATGACGTGGAGTGGCAGACTCCGAGGCCCAAAGGAAAAAAGCCAGTGGTCCCTCCAAATAACCGTTATTTTAGTGTTCGCAATTTTTTCATTGCCTCTCTCATTTTAATTATAGATTTTACCTTTTAGATAAATGAAGAATTTGCAATTTGTGCAGTGGAACTGTCGCGGTCTTCAACCTAATATTGATAACATTGGAATCTTGTAATGATTTTCGGTTATTACCCTTGCTTTGGGACGGACGTATCTTTATGCTCATCAAACACATATTTTAACCATTTTGTTCTTCGCCCGAGACTGAGGCAGGAAAAGAGGAAAGTTTCAAAGTAGAAGAAAAATGAACAGTCGAGGACACGTCTCTAACACAGCTAAAGACAAGTTTATTTGTCACCTTCTTATATACACTCCACGAACTTCACCACAGAACCTTCTCGATCTCCAAAGCCAAAACATAACAAAGGTCTCACATCTTTCCACCACAATTGTCAAACGACCTTGACGTTTTCCATAAAGCAACAAACAATAGCTCCCCTCACCCGGAAGACACTTGACTGAATCCTTCGCGTACACAGTACACTGTCCGCCTCTGCTCTCCGGCCCGAGAGTAGGAGGGGGAGTAGAGGGGAGTAGAGTAGAGGGGGAGAGTGTACTGTGTACGCGAAGGATTCAGTCAAGTGTCTTCCGGGTGAGGGGAGCTATTGTTTGTTGCTTTGTGGAAAACGTCAAGGTCGTTTGACAATTGTGGTGGAAAGATGTGAGACCTTTGTTATGTTTTGGCTTTGGAGATCGAGAAGGTTCTATGGTGAAGTTCGTGGAGTGTATATAAGAAGGTGACCAAATAAACTTGTCTTTAGCTGTGTTAGAGACGTGTCCTCGACTGTTCATTTTTCTTCCACTTTGAAATTTTCCTCTTTTCCTGCCTCAGTCTCGGGCTAAGAACAAAATGGTTAACATCCACCAGCTCGCCTGCGCAATCACTACATTAACATATTTTAAAGCGCCACCAAGTTTTTTTGTAAATATTGTTTTAATTCCACTTCCGGGGGCATGGCACGGATGAATGAATGGATGGATGTTAATGGCTGTACCCTATGTAATGGGCGGCAGCTTGCGCCACCTAGCTTAACATTTCGTCATTCCTTGTTGTTTAAGATGTGTATAAATTTTGTTCTAACACAACCCTTTCCCCCGCCCCTTTAAAGTGTTTCCATAGATTATTTTAGAACACAGCTCTTAGGCGCCCGTTCCCGTCTTCAGCGGCGTCGGCGTCACCGTCGGCGTAAGCGCGCGGTACATTATAGGCATTTCCTATGATACGACGCGCGAGGAGGAGGAGGAGGGATGAGGAGGAGAAGAGGAGAAGGGAAGGGGAGGGGGAAGAGGGGAAGGGGAGGGGAGGGATGAGGAGGTGGATAGGAGAGAGGAGAGGGGCTAGGAGGAGGAGAGGAGGGGAGGAGGAAGACAAGGAAGGAGGAGGGTATACCCTCTCCTTAGTACCCTTCCCTCCTCCTCCTCAAGAGCTGCGCTCTCATTCGGCGTTACAGGGTATTGTAAACGTCTTTCATTTTTTATCTGTATACCTCTCCCTAAATATTGTTCAAAAATGTTCCCATCTCTTAGTTACCGCAATTCTTTCCCTATCCATTCGTCCATCCACGTCTGCAAATCCCAGTGCCCCTTCAAACATTTAGTCATCCCCCCGAGAGGGTGGGACCAAGCCCTTTGCACCTTAAAATTACATGTTCCATAATTTCCCTCTCGCGGTTGCATACGTCGCATAGAGTGTCTATTTCCTGGAGTTTAGCCCTATATGTTTTCGTTCTTAGCACCCCCATTCTAGCTTCAAACAGCAATGAGCTCTTCAATGAACTATGATACAACTGTTCCTTCTTTATGTCTTGTTTTTGCGCCCTGTATATTGTTAAAGCTGATTTCCCCTGCATTCTTTCTTCCCACAATTTCCTCTCAGTTTCCTTTACTTTCTTTTCTACTGATATGCCCTGATCTGCCCCATCTCATTGAATGTATTTTGATCTCATCTTGTGGGTTCGGTTAGTCCACTTTCGGTTAGTGTTCGGTTAGTGTTCGGTT